CCATGTTGTTATAGGATAAATATGTTAATTCATTCAACAAATATTGTTTAAGAAAGACATTATGTGCCAGGCATTATTCTTGGTGCCAGGCATTATTCTTGACAATCAGTTAATCACCCATCATTTGCCATTGTGCTCTACTAATAAAGCAACAATTAACCAGATATTGCCTTAAATATGTCAAAAATGAACATACTGGACCAAAATCCACCTTGCGTGGATTCATATGTGGTGGAGTGAGAAAAGGTACCAATATGGTTCCAACAATATTTGTGGCAGCATAGACCTTGCCCATTTCTCATGACCTCAGCACACAAATGAGAACTGTGGTGAGCCAACAGCCTCTCAATGACACTTAAGGTAAAGTCTGAAACAATATATGTGGTGATCCAGCATATACCACCTGGGCCCTGAAATGCTAGTCATTAATTTGGCTTAAATTCTTAAATACTGGTTTTCTGTTTCCATTCATAGAAGACAACAGCTCTTTGTTTTCCTGGCAGCACCTGGGGAACTGCCCACTGGTCTACAGGAGGATGTGAAACTGGTTTTGATCAATGAATCTGACACCTCAGAGTCCTTTTGCCCCTTCAAGGTCCCTGGAAATACAAGTTCTGTTTAAGAGCAGAGTATCCCTAAGGCACTTGTCCACTCAGTTCACAAGTCCCAGTAGGCAGAGCTTGAAGTCTATGGTAACACATTCTTAACTCTAAGGGCCTGACACAATTCCTAGTCATTCCTAGGTAACATATGTGTCATCTGCTAGTCCCAAAGGGGACAAAGAACGATGACAACTCTATCCTATTTCTTTTTATTCTAATAAGTATGAGCTGTTACGCATCTGTACATTATGTACCTCTAAGACCCTACAAAGCACCTGGTAAAAGAATGTTAATTAATAAATATTTGAGGAATAAATGTATCCTAAGTAATCAAAAGCTTTCACAAAATACAGATAGTTAGCACATAGACCTAGCATGCTGATCAACAAGAGCTGAGAGGTTCCTTCAACTCAGTGTCCTACTTCCTGGCTGCTTTCTATATTAGTGCACTATCAGTTAAAAATCTCAGTTATCATTCTAATATTTAAGGCAATATCTGGTTAATTGTTGCTTTATTAGTAGAGCACAATAGCAAATGATGGGTGATTAACTGATTGTCAAGTACAGTTTTCACTAAAAGAAACTGATTTCTTAGAGAAATGGCTGATTTTAGAACCAATACAGGAAATTTACTAGATAAACGTGGGACATGTTATTGTGCCAGAAAATAAAGAAGCTTTCAAAAAACAATAGGGCCATGTCAAAAGAATACTCTAGGTAACCAGCAGGGGCTCCCAGGAAATACTTTAGGTCCAACAATAGTCACTTTTTAAAAATGACTGCACTAGGTTGAAATAGTGTATACATAGATGTATGTAAATATACATCACCATGTATTTATGAGTTCATAATCATACTTAAAAAATTTGTTAGAATTACAGGTTGCTGAGACACCAACTTATGCAGCAAATTGCTGATAATAATGAAGAATCAAACACTGAAATAAGACTTGACCCTGGGTACTTAACCTCTCAGAACTCATTTCCTTATTTGTGAAATAGTAGTACTAGTGCCTACTTCACAGGATTTTTGTGAGGATTAGATGAAATAATACCATATAGGATCCCAGGGAATTACACAGTACTATAAACATGTAAAGGATAGCTGCTATTACCTCGTGGACGCTTTCCAAGTGAAAAAAGATCTGAGGATTTACTGGTGTCTAGTCTCGAAACTGATGTGACTGTAGGACTCTGAGAAGTGATTCAGCATTCTGTCTCTGGTTTGTGCAGCTTATTTATCTAAGGAATTAAGTGTAGATTCTCTGTTTTGACATGATTTGCCCTCTTCCCCTAAAACCTGTCCTGGGTTAATAGTTACTTTAGTTCTACCCTTTCCAGGGAGGCAGTGTGTTCCCTAAAGGCCAGCTGATGATCCAGAATGCACGTCCTTATGCTCCCTAGGGTCTCCTGCATAACAAGGTCCCTGGTGCTTATCATTACCAAGAAATCTTGGTCCTTCAAAAAAAAAAAACCATTAGAAGATAATGATAATCCAACAGTGACTTGTTATCTTGTCTTTTAATTTAAGCAAGAGCTTCCCATAGGACACGGGTGTAACCAGCAAAGCATATAATATACACTGTCCACTGCAGGAAGGAGAATCTAGTTTTTATAATCCATAGAAGCATTCTGAGACTTTAGATATTTTCAAATGGCCAAGTGGATCCCAGCACTTTGTGAGTGCAAGGTAGAAAGATCACAAGTTTAAGTCCAGCCTAGTGAGGCTCTGTCTCAAAATAAAAAATTTTGTGAAGGGCTGGGGAGATAGCTCAATGTGAAGATCTTGTGGTCTCAATATTAAGAAAAGATAGGATTTTTCTAGACCGCTGTCCCATGTTCATTGGATACAACACATGCCTGATCATGTGACTGTCTCATTTGGCACAAAAAAACTCTAGCCACATTTCTAGAAAATGGAGAAGTCTTTGTGGTCTGCATTTTGTGTACTTATTTCTCACTGGTTTTTTTTTTTGTCTTTTTCCTTTTTATCGGTACCGGGGATCAAACTCACAACTGCCTGCTTGCAAGGCAGACACTTATGCCGCTGAGCTAAATCCCCAGCCCCTTCTCACTGCTTTTTATCTTACTTTTCTTCTCTATTTTTATTTATCTGAATCTCCTCAGCCTCTTTTTCTGAAAGAATATTTTTCCATTTCTCAGCAATCACAATTATTGTGGATGGAATGTATCCACTTGGCTACAGCATAGCTTTTGACCTTGTAATCAGATTGGACAAAGCCGTCATTATCTCTTCTTTCAAACTAATTTTCATTCAGCATAGTTTTTTTAAAAAAATTAATTCATTCTTTAGTCTCCTTCCATTAATTTTAAATAGTAACTTTTTACTTTACAGTAGTTTCAGGGATACAGAGAAGTTGCAAAAGTTCCCTTATCTCCCTTATTCAGTTTACTATTGTTATACCATTTATATCACTGTGGTGCATTTTGTCACAGCTGAGATACCAGCATTGATATGGAAGTATTAATTGAATTCCACACTTTGTTCATATTTCACTAGTTTTCCCCTCATATCCATTTTCTGTTCCAGAATTCCATCCAGGAGAATATGTTTCATTTAGTCACGTGTCTTTACTTGTTTCCTCTTGTGACATTTTTTTCAGATTTCCCCTTGGTGTTGAAGATTTTAAGTCGATCTAGGAGTAATACTTGGTATTTTACAGAGTATCGGTCCATTTGTGCATGTCTGATGTTTTTCTCATGGCTACACTGAAGTCGTTGGCCTTTTAAAGGAAGATCGCGGAGGTAAAGTTTATCAAAGGTATGTTCTATGGATTTGACTTATCACAGGTGGTACTAACACCTTGGTCTTGGGCTGATGGAACGAGTGCCACGTTTATCCACTGTAAAGATGCCTTCGTAGTCTTCCCAAGATGGGAAGCCATGCTTCATCTCTGTCAGGAGCTACCTGTATAAAATATTTGAAGCCATTTATTTATTGAGCAATTTGTATCAGAATGGATTCATAATTCTTTTCTTTTTCCTTAGGTTTTTTGTTTGTTTGTTTGTTTGGTTTTTTTTTTTTTTTTTTTGAGTTCTGGGGATTAAACTCAGGTGCTCTAATATGCTAGTCAAGCCCTCAACTATTGAGCTACACCCTTAGCCCCTTTTGAAACTTTTTAGAGACAGAGCAGCATGACATTTCAAGATAGTGATTGAGGTTGTTTTGAGTCCAGAAATATGCTCTTGAAACCCCTACAGGCACCAATAATCTTGAAAATAAGGTTTCCAATGGAAAAGCCAGGCTTTTTATAAACATTTTGTGTCTTTGCAACGGTGAGGTATATCCAAAAGCTTGACTATGAATATCAAGGACAAAAGGTTCTGGATAACTCAAAACACAGTGTGAGGGAAGATGGTATGAATATGTAAAAATATTTATTTTGTCCAAAGAAAATAAAAATTAATCGGAATGTGGGTGAGGGGTGAGCTAAAACTAGAGCTTCTTTGAAGGGTGACTGCTGGATGCAGTCTATGTCTACATAGTTCAGCACCCCCCACTCCAAAGCAGTGGATAATAAGCCAGAGGGAGCTCCATGGCTTATCTCTGGGGACACAGCCTCAAAGATATGTATCTGTGTATAGAGAGACCCCCTCTTATAAACACACAATGCCACTGTACAGTCATCAGAATAAAAAGAAAGCGATGGCGTGAGAATGAATACCTCAGACACTCCTGGAACTCCAATATTACTCAGAAATGCATCTCAAAGTATTCCAAGAGGAGTGAAGAAGCGGCCGAGAGAAGACTGGAAACTGGGACTAGCCTGCAGACGTGACTGTACAGGGCAATACTCGACCTTGGTGACCACAGAGCAGATCACTATGGAGATGCCTCTTGGGAATGCAGCAGGAGGGTGCAGGAGTCAAAGATCAACAAGGGCTGCACATCTCAGCAGAAGCCACCTTGCAAGGGAGTCAGTGACATGGACCAGATTCTGTTCACTGATCCTCGGACACAGAAGGCTCTGAAATATAGTCCACTTCTGGGGAGATACGGAGGAGGAGGTCAGAGAGCAGAAATTTAAAATTTAATGCCAAATTTAAAAGTTAATGTGATGGAATCTCCTTAGTGGAGGTTACACCAAATCTTTGTTCTGGAGCAAAATTTTGGGGATCCAAAAGTGAAAATAACATCCTTGTTACAAAAAAATAAGATTAGAGTAAAACTTTGAACTGCAAGTAACTTGTTCTGCGAGTGTTCTGCAAAATGATCAAACATTTCTAGTGATTTTTAACTTGACAAACAACTGATATCTTGCAATACCAGCAGTACATCAAACATCACATGAGCCAATGTTCATCTCTGTCCCCTACCCTTTCTCTTCGTGGAATTATGGGTGATCATCTCCCAAACATAACAGGTTACAGAGGAGGTCTCGTCTGCAGAGAAGGCAAGAAAAATATTTAAGAATCCTTTACCATGTGAGATTAGGCAGATGTATAAAACGTGGGAAACGGTGCACAATTTTGTAGAAAAGCACCTACCTGAACACAGTTGTAGCAACACGAGTGATGAATCTGCTTAATGACAATGAAATGTTACATTTTTGTAAAATCCTCCAAAGGAGGCAAAAGCAAGTGTCCTTAGATAGGTTCCTTGTTAAAGTTACAAGAAAAGAAAAAGATTCCATTGAACCAATAGATAGCAGATTCCATTAGTGATAGTAAAATTTGTCTTACACAATAACTCTATTCTCTCATGTCTCTCACACCAGCCATGAAAGTTTTCAAAGGTAAGTGCAAGTTAATTTATTTTTCCTTATATTTTGTATTTTCTTTATTATTTTGTATTATAATATTGCAATCATTTTTACATGAATATTTTTGTGTTGTGGAGCACAGCATCTGAGTTTCCATTATTTCTTATGAAGAAATTTGGTTTGATTTATAAGTGCTTTGGATTACAAGCATGTTTCTGGAATGAATTATGCTGTATATTTTTCAAATATTTGAGTATATATATTATTACTAGAAGTATGACCACTAGAAATAATTTATAATTTTTTTCTTTTTTTAGTACCGGGAATAGAACTCAGGACCTGCATTTGCCAGGCAGGTGCTGTGCAGCTGAGCTATACCTCTAGCCCTATAAATTCTTTCTGATAATAATATAGCAATGTATGCACATGACAGAAAATTTATATGATTTTAGAAAAATATAAAAATAAAATGAAGTCACTCATTAATCAGTTAATAACGCAGTTTAAAGATGATTTCTGAATGAGGTAGCATTAGGTCAGGTATTTAGTAATGGACAATGTATAGTAGGTGTACAATAACAGATTTTGGAGGATTTCTCACTGTTTGTGTTGGTTAGGTAAGAGTTCAGATTGATTCGTTTGCTGTATTACTCTGGCAGGTTTGCAGGTCAGATCAAGTTATGCCACAATAACTGAGCATGCATAAGATACTCCATAATCATGCCCAGAAACTCTGACAATAGGCCACTTGAGCTGTGTGGATCTCAATATCATCCAGCTCTACGAATGAGAATAATGTGCTGGGACTTGGCATTGTCTGGCATTGAATCATGAGAGGTGATTGCTCCTGGTTCCCTTTTTCCCCTCCCAGCTGTGTCTTATAAGCTGCTGTTCCTTTAACCACAGGTTGTCCAGAGAAACAAAAACTCTCCCCTAGGGGATTATTTTCCAGCCGTACACCAGAGACTTAGGGCCATAACAGCAGAGATAGCAGCAAAAGAAGAAAAGGAAAGAATTGATTTTCTGGCAAACACAGAACTGAGTCCTTGTGAAAAAGGTGAGGCTTTTCTGGATCAAGAATATGCCATTTTCTGGTAAGGTAACACAAAGGCGATTAGGACAGCGGTAAGCAAAGAGGTATATTGTCTCGTCGTAACTGTATTGCTGTAGACCTAACCCCAAGTAATTGTCCCTCCAACAGGAAAATGGACTGTCTCCTAATTGAAGGTTGGCAGAAATGTAGCAAAATATGGGGAACCATTTCCTTGTATTGGCTACGGAGAAACAAGGGTGGGCTGAAATTTCTGCTACTCGCTTAAGTGAATGGCCTTTAGTAAATGATACTACTTGCCTCTAGTGCCTCTATTACCTTGTATATGAAATAAAATAATTTCAAATGGCTGCTGAGTGACTTAAAGTGAGCTATTACAAGGAAGTCTTTAATAATGAGTGCCGACCAGTTGTTCAAAGATTTCTCATTGTTAAGGTTTAACACACCGAAATTACTAAAACTACGGAAATTTCGTCAACTCTCATTTTACAGATATCTCTGGAGATATTTTCTAAAACACGTTTGTATACAAATTTCTACAAATATAATGTTTTGAGTTAAAAAGTTAGTTACCTTTAGATTTGGCCTTGGAATTATATGAACGTCTCACAGAATCTCAAATCAGAAAATGGCGAATCCTCAGTTTTATGATCTCCTAAAAGGTCTAGTTGTACTAAATCTATTCTGAAATCAGGGGCAACCCAAAGACATTAGAAAGGAGGGGAGTTTTTTGTGGAAAAAAATTTGAAGTATAATTTTAAAAATCTGAGTTTGCATTTGTATATGTGATACCTATTTCACTTTACGTATGCACAGAAAGAAGAAAATCATGAAACGTAATTTAGGTTAAAGCTATTTGCAATACGTAGTTTTAGATTTGTAGATAGACATCTTAATCTGGTGATTTTATTAAAATGTAGAAAATTTGTCTCTGGAAATAAGGGAAACGAAACAAATTTATGAAAAATAACTATTAATTTGGGGAGATTTGCATTAAAAACTGTCTACTGTATTTTTCGGACTATTCTTAGGTTGCAAGAGCATTCCAGGTATTACATGTTGTGGAAGTCTTTTCAGTTTATTATTAAATGGGCTCAGGAGAAGTTGAAATGATAGAAGTAAAGGTTAACATGGTGTAGACTGATAGGAACTGAGGTCAGTCCCAAGGTCATAATTCATAATGATATGGCATTGAAACAAATAAATAAATGTTAGGGTAGCTTTTCTATCTTTTTTGGCATGTTGAGTAGGCAAAGCCTTCCTCAACAGATAGGTTTGATTTTTAACATTCAGCATTTATTGAGTTAGAGTCATGAACTAGGCACCACACAAAGGTATTCCCTTAAACGCCACAACTGACCAGTGAAGAAGGTAATATCATTACTTTCATTGTATGGATGAAAATGAAAGTTGGATATATTTCTTTTCAAATCCATTTATTTCAAAAAGAAAATGAAAGTTTGAGAGGTCAGGCAATTTGGCACAGTCACTCAGAGAAATAACTAAGGATACCAGTGTGTGTGTACTTTAGGAGAGAGATGAGGGTCTTCCTTTTGCTAGAATGCTAAATCATGAACGTGGCCGATTCTGCTTTTCCTTCTCCTTTGTTCTTTACTTATGTATCTATGTCACACTTCCAGAAATTTCCTGGGTGAAGCACAATTCCTCCTTCCAGCTTGACACATAAGGGCTTAATATCAACAATACTAGCCAATAGAGCTCTTCTAGGCTACAGTAAGTTACATTTGCACCAGCTGGACTTGTCTAAATATCATTCGGAGGAGCAAACAGGGCTTGGCAACAACAAAGAGAGGATGGTGTAGCTCATAACCTTTGTTTCGTTGTTTATTTGTTATCACCATCCTGGTGACCCAGACACCATCTGAATCTGGAGATTTTTCCACTCTATCCACATAAATTAACTATAGTATCTAGGACTGATATGTAAAAAGGTGAGAATATTTAGGATCTACAAGAAACCTTTATGAAGAAGGCAGCACAAAGGACACTGCATAGAAGAGAGATCGAGTAGCCAAGCTCTAAAGACAGACCACAGAGGTTCAAAGCTTGCCTCAGCCACCATGACCTGGATGATCTTGAGCGAGTTCCTTAAGTGTACTTGAGCCTCAGTGTCTTCTTCTGTAAATGGCAATAATGGTAGTACCCATCTACAAGCTTGTCATGAATGTTGAGTGGCATTAGGAATGCAAAGTGTTGGCTTCTGGAAAGCACTTCATGAACACTGGATTTTACTATTGGCTAGGTGTCATGTTTAGTGTTAAGAATGTAATACCCATATCACCTAGGTAGATTAGGAGATAAGGCACATATATAAAAATGATAACTAGCAATACAAGGTAGACCACTATTGTGTGAATAGTACAGATGCAAGTTATGGAAATTCCAAGGAAAAAGTGATGATGTAATTAGAAAAAAAGTTAGATTACAGATAAGAGTCCAGAAAGTGTATATGACTTTACCAACATCACAAGGTTAGCTTTAAAAGAGTTAAGAGTAAAATTCAGGTCTCCTGGCTTATGCTGTATGAAACTGAGCCACACTAGTACTAATAAAAATTATCTTAAAATAGCAGAGTTATCAATTGAAGATACCTTTTTTTTTTTTAACACACTAAAGATACCTTTTAAAAACACATTGTTGGGCTGGGGATTTAGCTCAGCGGCATAAGCGCCTGCCTTGCAAGCAGGCAGTCGTGAGTTTGATACCCCGGTACTGATAAAAAAAAATAAAAAAAAAACCAAAAATTAAAAAAAAATAAAAACACATTATCTTATTAAATCCTCACAATAACCTTAGGTGTTATATTTTTGAAATTTTATAGGTAAGAACATTGAGGTACAGGAAGATATATAATATGCTCAAAGCTCTGCATCCAGGATTAAAGGAAAGGTTTCTAGTCAGTTTTAATGAATATTTAAAGGGGAGAGAAAGGGCAGGGTAGGCAGAATCAAGGGGGATGGCAAGCTCAACTTCAGTGTTAGAAATTAACATTCACGAAAATTGACTGGGCTGCTTTAACTGGAAAGAGAAAATTCAAGCCACAAGGGTTGGTAGACATGATCAGAAAAGGGCAGAGGCTATCGGAGGGAGCTCTTGAATGCCAACCCAGGCAGCATATACTCTGTTCATAGTTTTGAAAGGCTAAAGGTAGAGACAGAAGATGAGAACTTGACAATCCTATCACTGTAGGTTTTTCTTTAAAATATACTAATCTGGTCATGGAGAGAATGAAGAGGGACAGTTCATTGGCAGGGAGACCAGTCAGTGGCTAACAGCAACAACAATGGGGTGGGGTATTTTTCAGGAGCACTTCAACTTGCCAGGGACACACAGCCACGAAGTCACTTCTCAATCTCTGGTTTATACTCTCATCCATCCCTCCCCACAGGCTCTGGGACTTCCATCTCCCTACCAGTAGACAAAGTCCTCTGGGAACCATGAGGAGTTTTTTCCACTGCCACCTCTTTAGATTCATCTGGTTCACCAAGCCATCCATCCGGTCCTTTCACAGAGGTCACCAGCTTTGGGCAGCCATGACTTCTGCTGACTTTGAAGCCATAAATCGCTGTGACAGGCCACTGCCTAAAAACTTTAACTTTGCTGGGGATGTGCTGGATCAGTGGTCCCAAAAGGAGAAGGTATGAAACAATGGGATGTCTTTAGATTCTTCCCATGCCCTGGGGTCCATTTGTCAATTTCAGTTCAAGTCTTTCACCCATCTTGCTTTCCTTTGTTTTCTAATTACCCTCCTCTCTCCCAGGGATCTTAGGTCCTCAACTCCACGTGGCATCTTGAAAGCCCTTTTCCTCCCCAACCCCAGCCCATACTTGTGGTTACTCCCAGAATTATGCGCCTTTTTTTCCTTCCTCTCTGTGTCTCAGACAGCAACACTTTGGGTTTGGGATGCTCACAGGCTTATCCCAAAATGTAGTACTTTAATTTTGGTTTTATGAATATAGTTATTATTAGAACAATTAAGTAGGGATCAAAAATTGAGAAGAAAAAAGCAAGCATGCCATGAAGAATGCTTGCAGCGCAACCTGAGAACAAGATCAGTGCTTACTGCACCCACCCCAGCCCAAGCACTGAACTAAGCACTTCACCTGTCAGCACTTATCAAAATGTTCTGCAGGGCCCATGGTCCGAAAGATAGTATTAGGCACTACATTAAGTTAATCCTTCTAAGTAGAGCAGGAAAGGCTTATCTGAAAGTCATTGGGTTTTTAATATTTAACATTTGCCAAATTCTCTTTCCAACAGAGAATTTCAATTTCTGTTGATAATTTTTAGATAAAACAGAAGGGCATAGTTTTGCTTTTATTGCATATATTTCTATAACCTGTTTTTAACAAGTGATATTGATTTTTCAAGCATGGTGCTGACTAAATGCAGTTTTCTTCTTACGTAAATGTATACAAGAGAGTTATATAAAGACAAATACAGGTGCAGACAGAGGAACAGTGATATTCAGATTAAAGATTGGGAAATACTCACCTGTATTATTTCATCAGATCCCCAAAACTTCTCTGATCAGGAGTTTGGATAAGGAATTTAACCTCACAGAAGTTAAGCTACTTATATAAGTTGCACACTTCCAAAAGAACATGAACCAAGTCTCCACCTTTTAAGGCTTACATCATAGGGTAGAGATACGTCTGTAATACTGTATCATAGAATATAATGGAGTTGCCCGGAATCTGAGCACAATGCTGAAGAAATGCACAGAAATCAGCGGGGAAAAAGAGGAGGAGTCTAAAAAAGACAAAGTGGATTGTAAATTCAGCTTTGAAGTATTCTCCAGTCAAGAAAGGTAGAAGCATTTCAGACAGGAGAAAGCAAGTAATTTTTTTCCAGGTAATACATAAATGAAGAGATTTTGTAGTACAGGTGGCTCATTTTATAGAATGATAAGTGAGAACTTTCTTCCAGCAATCAATTGATAACTCCTTCCACCTTGCTCCTCATAATCCATGAGACCCACAGCCCTTGGGTACAAACAGATATCATCAGGTTCCCAATCAAATTCCGTACTCTCATTACGATCATTTGAGTGGAACAATATCTAACTTAAATAAGAAAGAAATGTATTAGAGAAATGTGGGAGACCTTGAAAAATTGGTGTAGAAGCTGGAGAGTGAAGTGACAACAGAAAGGACTAGAATGGTTGCCTGGAGATGCATAAGTACCAAAATTACACAGACAGGTTTTGCTGAAACTATTTTAATCTTTTGGATCCCTTCAGAAAACTCAAAGACTGATTGGCCCAACTGTGGTCACATGCCCACCACCATTCAGATAAGGGCAAGCACCTGATAGGTCCATATTCAGTAGGAGAGGGTCAGTTTCTCCAAAGACAGATTGGGGCGCTGTTCTACAGTGCAAAAGAACAGATGCTGAGGCGGAGTAATGGCAGATGCTGTATAAACCCTCTGTGCTAGTCAGCTTTCCATCATTGTGACAGACTACTGTACATAAATAACTTAAAAGCAGGAAAAATTTATTTGGGCTCAGTTTCAGTGATTCCAATCCTTGGTCATTTGACCCTCTTGCTTTGGGCCTGGGGTAGCAGTGTACCTCATGGAGGGAACAGATACTGGGTATCTATTCACTTCAGGGCAGCTAGGAAGCAAAAAGAGCAAGAGATAGGCAGTGTGACACAGTCCCAACAGCCCCTTCAAAAGCACACCTCCCAAACCTAACTTCCTTCCACTAGACCCCGTGTCCTGAGAGGTCTACAGGCCTTCAACAGGTAGGTCTTCGGAGTTTACTTCCAAACCGCAGCAAACCTTCTCTTCTCTTTCTCATGTGTCTGTGGTCAGACAGGGGAGAGGCCAACCAATCCAGCCCTGTGGTGGGTGAATGGCAAGGGGGATGAGGTGAAGTGGAGCTTCAGAGAACTGAGCTCTTTGTCCCAAAAGGCCGCCAACGTGTTCACCAAGTCCTGCGGCTTACAGAGAGGAGATCGAGTGGTCGTGATTCTACCCCGAATCCCTGAATGGTGGCTCATCCATGTGGCTTGCATACGAACAGGTTAGTGCTAACACTTCACGTTTGTAAGTCATGCAGAAACATAAAGAGACCGAATCTCAAGCACTCTTTGGATGTTAGCTTTTAATAATGCGGTACTTACAAGGAAAGAAAAAGGAGAGTTGAAATTAAGAACAATCATGATGTAATAATAATTACTGTCTAAAGAACTCAGTTTTACTGTGGTAACTGTTTAATAGGAGGAGAAACCAAGAAGAGATATTGTGAAGTCTGCAAAAAGCCAAACAGCTAGGAAGCTACACAATTAGTATTAAACACAAAGTTCTATAAAAGCAAACATGGGTATGAATGCTTCTTTGCAGCACTCTGAGGCAAGTGGATCCTAAGTTAGAGTCTAACCTGGGCAACTTGGCAACTTAGAGCCTATCTCAAAATTTAAAAAACGTAAGAAGAGCTAGGGATGTGAATGTCCTGGTTCTAATCCTCAATAAGATTTTATATATATATAAACAAATTTTTTGTTTTATATATATAAACAAATATATATATACAAATTTTTTGTCTAAAAACAAGTTATTTCCTTTAGGGCAAGAGTCAGTAAAGCAGAGCCTATAGGGTTTTGTAGATAGAGGTATTTATTTATTTATTTAGGTACCGGGGGTCAAACTCACAACCTCATGCTTGTGTGACAGGTACTTATACCACTGAGCCATATTCTCGGCTCTGCAGATAGTGTTTTGATGGAATACAGTCATGCTCATTCTTTTACATATTAGCTATGACTCCTTTTGTTCTACAACAGCAGAAACACTGAGTCTAAAATTGATTGTGTGACCCGTAGTATTCATTGTCTGGTTCTTTTCTCTTAGGGTGGGGTGGATCACTATCTGGTTCTTTACCAAAAATGTTTGCCAATCACTATAATGTTAAAAATTGAACAAAAATCTAAATAGAAAGGATTGAATAAATTATAACAGTTAAGATGTAAGTTTAGTTAAGATATGTTTATTGTTTTGTTTTAGTTTTTTATTTTTACTTTTTTTTTTGAGTCAAGGTTTCACTATGTAGGTCTTGATGCACTATGTAGCCCAGGTGGCCTTAAAGTTGCAATGATCGTTCTGCCTCTGCCTCCCAAGTGCTGAAACCACAGGCATGCACCAGCATGCCTGGCAATGTGTTTGTTCTTGATCAAAACACCTGTAATCAGAGCACTCTGCCCCCAGAGCTGATGCAGGAGAATTACAAGTTCAAGGCTAACATGAACAACTAACTTAACACAATCCTGTCTCAAAATAAAAAATAAGATAAAAATTAAAAAGGGATGGGGAATGTAAAGGCTCTGGGTTTAATCCTCAGTCCCACGCAGACACAAAAAGGTAGTGAGTATCTCTAATACTTCATACGTCATTTTCTTTCTATTGATTGAGTTGAGAAAGTGCAAACTACCTTTTCTCAATCTTGCATCTATTTCTGCCATATATGCTTTTCTCATAAGGAACTACTACTTTGAAACCCGTGTTTGGGATTTCAGTGAGGAAGGGGAGTAAGCTAAGCACTGTCATAGTAGTCTAGGTACTTAATGCCAGACCACTGAGATCCAGAGATCTGAAGGCTGGCTGGCCACTCACCAGCTATGAACAAATCTTATACCCCATCAAATGGCAACAAAGCATAGATCTACTGAAATTGCTTAGAACAGTAGTTTTCAGGCAACTATATATCCTGTATAGGTCTGTTAATACATATAGGGTGTACAGGTTATCAATAAAAATATCTAGGACACAAATCTTCCTATCTGGGTATAGGTTTTTATATTGTTCTATTGTACTAATATAGTATGTATATTTTAAAGCATGTATGAAAAGGAGATAAAAATATAAAAATAATTCTAGTATCTTAATAATTTAAAAAATTGTGTTACTGTCTTTTCTCATTTCCAATGGACTATCTTGCAAAACTCACTTTGGATCCTACCATTTCAGAGGATTGAATAAAATAATGTTCATGAAAATGTGATACAAGATGTCAAGTGCTATTTAAACGTTACCTAACAACCATTCAAGCATTACAATAAAATGTTACATAGTAATAGCCCACTCTTATAATGTCTCTCAAATGCTAGACACTATCATTATCCCCATTTTATAGATAATGTAAAGAAAGTACAGAGAGATCAAAGTTAGAAAGCTGGTAAACTGTAGGGCCAGAATTAAAGCCAACATCTGTCAGACTCCACAGTGAGTGATCAAGGTCCTGGGGGTCCCCAGGACAAGACAGGAGTCACTGAAGACGATATTCTAAAGCTTCTTCCCAGGTACACAGTCCCTATTTCCCACCAGCCAGAGTCATTGCACCTAATGGACAATAGTTCTTGGCTCAAGACCCTCTGTCCTTTCCAGGACTTGTATTCATTCCGGGAACAACCCAGCTGACAGCCAAAGACATCCTGTACCGGCTGCAAGCGTCAAAGGCCAAGTGCATTGTGGTCAGTGAGGAGGTGGCCCCTGCAGTGGAGTCCATAGCATCTGAGTGTCCCAACCTGAAGAACAAAGTCCTGGTGTCTCCACATAACTGGAACGGTTGGCTCAGCTTCCAGGAATTATTTCAGTGAGTGTTTTCCCCAGCTGATATGCAGCATCAGAAACAAAGCACAGCTCCATCTCAGAGTCTCTTTGCCTTCAAAGACCCAGCAACACTGTGAGCTGAACTGAGTTTCTTCCCAGCAAAGAATTACCTAACAAAACGGTTTATAGCAGAAGGAAGGGATTTCACTATGCCTCCATTTTTTTCTTTCTTTTTATGTCCCATGATGTGTATCCTGCATAAGCTGACCCTTGTCTAAATTCTGAACTTCCTCTATCACCACTCTCCTTTGTATTCCTCAAATATTCCCTGCCATAGGGCCTTTGCATCTGTTGTTTCTTCTGTCTGGAGTGTTATTCCCTACTAGTCCTTTTCACAGTTGGCTCTTTACTATCTGATTTAACCTCAAATATTTTACCTTAGGTGAAGCCTTCTTTGACCAGCCTAACCAAAGTAGAACTATGAGCTCTTCTATCATACTATTTATTTTCTTTGTAGAATTTTTCAGTATCTAAATTATCAGGTCTGTTCACCTATCCCCTCTGTTTTTCTCTTTCAGAGCAGGAGTGAGAGAATTAAGGCCCACAGACCAACTCTGGCCCCCCACTTGTGTTTTTAAATAAAGTTTTATTATAATTCACCCAGGCCCATTTGTTTACATATGGTCTCAGGTTGCTTTTATGCTTAGCAGCAACAGAGAGTTGTTGCAACAGAGACACTATGGTCCACAAAGCTTAAAATATGTGTTTCTGACCCTTAAAGAAAAGGTTTGCCAAATTAAGCGCTAAAGAAGCAAAAGTTTTGTTTATCTGGTTCATCACTCTTATCTTTACTACCTAGTAACACAGTACTAGTGCTTAACAAATAGTGAATAAATATATGAACAAAACAGTTTTCTTCCTATGTAAAATGGGGGTATGTATGCAATACATATCTCAAGTGTTGCTTAAAGATAATATAAGTGTTGCTTAAAGATAATATAAGGTAACCAAGAAATAAGCATGGTGAGAAAATGCTTCTGAGCTATAAAAAAGTGAGTAGAATGTCAATTAATGGTATTAGACTACAGAACTGCTGGATAGATTATGTTTTTAAAACTCTCCCCAAGAAGCTTATAGAAAGAGAAGACATGTAAACCCTGCTGGGTAGTAGGGAAGTTTCCTTTGTTGGAATGAAATTTTACCCTAGCAATTAATATAAACCAAATCTTGTTGGCCTATCCCAAAATTCTCTCCCAAGGGCCTACATCAGTAACTCCCATTTGTGTCTTTTATAAACTGAGTGACCTTGACTAAGTCAAATGACATTTCTCAAAGTCTGTATCTTATCCATGTGGTAGGAATAATGATATATATAGCTAATGTGTAGAAAAACCAAATGTGACAAGTCATGTGGAATGTTTAGCATAGTGCCTAGTACAACGTGATCACTCCACGCACACTATAGTAATTTTCATTGCTATTATTATTTTCTTTTGTTTTTATCGGTACCAGGGACCGAACTCACGACTGCCTGCTTGCAAGGCAGGCGCTTATGCCGCTGAGCTAAATCCCCAGCCCCCGATATTATTATTTTCAAAGTAAACAATATAGCAGTTCCTAAGGTAGCACCCATCTCCATCAGTAAAGTGTGTGTGTGTGATCAGAGTTAGATCCACAGCTTCACGTATGTTAGGCAAACATTCCACCACTGAGCTACATCCCTGGCCCTTTTCCTTTATTATTATTATTATTATTTTGAGACAAGGTCTTACTAAATTGCCCAAGCTGGCCTCAGTCTCTCAAGTAGCTGGGATTACTGGTATGTACCGCTGTACCCAACTAGTAAAATCTTTTTAATACACTTGCCTAACATATATATTTATTTATTTTAAAATTATAAACTTGTACTTTTGGGTGTTAAATACCAAAAAGAGCTACAAAGAATATCACTTTAGTACCTCATAAACTATTTTTTACAGTGTAGAGTATGTTTATATAATTAATCCTCATTATTTTAAGTTTTGATGACGTTCTTACTCATTTATCATTAAGATGAATTAAAATGGCATTTTTAGCCATGTATCTTCCAATCAGGAAAATTAAAAATATAATACCTGAGCCTCAAAAATTCTTATTAATCACTGAGTAATAAACTGTACCCAAACTTAGTGATGTAAAATAAACACACACTCGTTTTATTTATTCATGATTCTGTGAGTCAAAAATTTGCTCAGTACTTGGCAGAGGAAGTTTTTCATTCAGATCCGCCTGAATTGGGCAGAGTATCCATCCAAGTCAGGCAAGGTACTGACTGTTAGTCTAAGCAGAGCCTGCACATGGCCTCTCATTCCAACAGGACAGTCAGAACACCTTTATGTGGCAGTCAAGCTCCCCCTACAATTAGGGAAAATACAAAGCCTATTGAGAGCTGTATTGGCAAGCCCCAGAATTCTTCCTCACTATATGTATAAAAGGATGTCCTAAATCAGGTCCAGACTTGAGGAGACAAGACAACAGCTCCAGGGAATGGCATACTTGCTCAGGGATGGAAAAACTAGAAGAGCAATCTGGGAAGACACAAAGCTTATTATCAGTTAGAATGCTCTGGGCTTTAGTAATCTAAGCAAAAGTGATCCAATCAGTTTTATTATCTCACAAACAAATACAGAGGCAGGGTGAACTGAGGATTGGTAAATTTAGAAGATAGCATGAACCCCAATTCATTCATCTTTTATGGCATCCTTGTTATGATCCCAACATGGCAAGGGCAGTTCCAAACATCCTGCACTTGCACAATATTCAAAGGTCATAATATAGGAGAGAGAGAATAGTACTCGCGTCAATATTCTCTTTAGAGCAGAGAAATATTTCCCATTAAAGGCCTCGCATCTCATTAACCATAACTTCCTAAACCCATTATTGATAGGAGAGGACATGACCACAATTGATTTAAGTTAATCAAACTTTACCCCCAACATGCTATACAGAAACAGTCTCCCCTGAAGTACGTGACTGTTTGGTACCTGAACAAAACTGAAGTTTAAGTAGTACAGGAAGAAGATAAAATAGTTACTTACTAAGCAACTGGCTATTTTTGTCAGACGTATCCAAGATTTTGAACAAGTTACTAAAAGTAGGATTCAAATGCAAAAAAAAAATCTTCCTTTAAGTATTAAAAACTGCAATATTACTATCAATTTACAAATATTCAATGCTGATTTTAAAAATGCATAGATTTAAAAAATCACTTGGGAAAATGTGCAAATAAAATGCATACTTTCTGTTATTAAAATCAAAAGTTATCTTGGCTATATATTTCCCTTAGCAGTTCAGTTCTATTGACTGTCTTCTGAAAACAATAGAATACAAGTAGCAAAGCAAGAGAAATATTGGAATTAAATTGCTCTACTATCTCAGTCACCATCTTAGGGATCTGTATTTTGTAGATCTTCCTCTGAAGAGCACAGCTGTGTGGACACAGGGAGTCAAGAACCAATGGCCATTTATTTCACCAGTGGGACCACAGGCTTCCCTAAGATGGTTCAGCACTCTCAGAGCAGCCTTGGCATTGGATATGCCCTCTGTGGCAGGTAGGGAAAAAACTCAGTTCATTTTTGAAGAACATTTCCTTGAGCAGCCTATGTTTGTATCCAGTTGGCTAATCTCTCCTTAAATGGCATATCTCCAATTATAACATCTATAAAACAGAACTCTTGATACCCTACCCTTCCCTAGCTCAGTAATGGCAGTACTGAGTGAATGATCAAGCAAGAGTTTAGGATTCCACCTTGATTTAATTATGTAAAAGCATGTTGACTGCTTTTCCTCATTGCCAGGTAAATTTACTTACCAAGAGGGGCCTTCCTAAAAGAAAGGTTATCTAAAATTGTCACAATATCCTGTTTTATTTTCTACATAGCACTCATTACTATTTTGACATGATGGTATTTGCATATATACTGAATCAACATTGAGTGTTTATGCCTTTTCTGTCTCTCTAAAAGAAGACCAAAAATCTAGTCAGTCTTGCTTACTGCAAGCCTAATACAACATTTGCTCAGTAAATATTTGTTACATCAATGGATGAACTGAGAAGGTCCTGCCCAAGCCAGTTACTCAGTCCCAATATCAGACCACAAGATTCCAGAAAAGTCCCGTAAGAAGAATGTTTAAACAGAATCTCTCACCTTGACTAGGGGCTTCTTTTGATCTTGTCCGTAGCCTGTGAAGCTCTGTGGCCTCCTCAAAGATAATAGTTTGTTTGTTTTCCTATTTTTAAACTGTCTAGTTTTAGCTTATTTCATTACTTTTCTACATTATTCAGGCATTGGCTGGACTTGAATCCCTCGGATATCATATGGAATATGTCGGACACAGGTTGGGTCAAGGCTGCCATTGGTAGTGTGTTTTCTTCCTGGCTTCGGGGTGCCTGTGTTTTTGTGCATCGAATGGCCTCGTTTGACTCTGACACCTTCCTAGACGTAAGCCATGAACTCCAATTACATATACTCTTCTCCCACCAAACCACAATGAATTGATTCCTAGGAATACAAGGCTGCTTGGGCTTCTGGAAATGGTTCATTTTTAAGAGGCAAACTCTAGGGACTTGTCTTTTGAGTTTGTTTAACAGAGTGAAAAGGGATTAACCAGAACACTCTGGTTCAAGTCTCTCAGGATTTGTTGGGGTTGCAAAGTCTGAGGCTATAAAAAGAGCCAGTTCTAATAATAGATTAGAAGCCTCAAAGTTAAATAAATATTTTGTTTCTGATCCGGGGACAATAGCTGATAAATCTGAACTATGTGGAGGAGACTGAAGGTGTGGTCATTGTTTTCCCTGTGCAACTTTTTCCATTTTCCCCTACTTATGCTTCTTATTTTAATTCAAAGACCCCAATACTCTTCAGGAAACCAAGCACACACTTTCCTCTCAGCCAGAAATGGTTAGACTGAGATATCTGACAGTGTGGACTTTTAGAAAAATGCAATTCGGGCCAATTATTTTTCATCCATGAAAAATCAATTAGGTTTAACATACGTATTATCAAATAGGCACCACACTTACCATGACTAAAAGCTAGGCTCACCCTACTGTTTTGCTAACTGGTCTGACAAGATAGGCTGAAGATTTTTTTTTTTTATAATTTTTTAAAATTTTATTTTAAAGAGAAAATACAATAAAAAGATGATAGAATTTCAAAACAAGGTAATAGGAGATTAATAATGGTTAATATATTGTGTACTGTTATCTTCAAAGTAGTTGCTCAGTTTACGTGGTATAGGAATAAAAACTTAATCAAATAATATAATCACAAATTGTTCTTTTCAATGAACTAGTAGAAATTAGTAATATAATTATCTTAGCTTTTTTGTGTGTACATATATATATATATATATTTTTTTTTTTTCTGTGTTAAGAGAAATGTAGAAACGTAAAACTGGGATCACCACATTGGGTTTATAAAGTGCCCTGAATCTTAGCTAACTTTGCAGTTTTGAAATTTACACATGTAAAAAAAGGATATTTTTATTTCTAAAGGTAGTGGGTGTTAAGTACAATAAAAATGCTATAGATTTATGCTATATAATAGTTAGATATATACATTACACTTAGCGAAAGTAATTAAAACCTTGGGAGAAGAAATATATATATATATATATATATATATTTAAAAGGGTTTAAAAGTTATTCTTGATCTATGACAATCTAGACAGCTTACACATACATATTCTCCCAAATGCTTAGGTTTAATACAAATTGTAATATTTTATTTGGCACAGCAGAACTTGCTCTCCACTAAATATTAGTGCTTCTGTAGATTTAATGCATGTCATTATTTGACTTAAGGAATTAGAGGTTATAATGTGCTCAGCAAATTTTGAACCATTAAGAAAAGGCCCTGAAAAATGTCTACTTTAATATTTGTCAGTCAACTCAGAAAGACTGAGATCTTTAAAAGAATAGTGCTATACAGGTCATGGTGGGGAACTCAGACATCCAGAGTCATTACCAACATCCAGAGTCAGTACTACGGGGCTGGAGGTTTAGCTCAGCGGCATAAGTGCCTGCCTTGCAAGCAGGCAGTCGTGAGTTCGATCCCCGGTACTGGTAAAAAGGAAAAAGACAAAAAAAAAAAAAAAAAAAAAAAAAAGAGTCAGTACTACATAAGACTATATAGGCAGGAGGTTAGAAGTTTCTACCACAAAAGGTAACATGCAGAATAATCTAGTTTATACTTACATTGTTCTCAAATTCAACTATTCAATTGAATGTCTGTTTCTGGAACATATACTATATATAAATATATATGTATTTTTCTCAGTAACTGGAAGTTTGTAACAAATGCATAGTCATGAGTGATACATATAGTGTTTGCTTTCTTACTCCTAAGATCATGAGATGAGCATACATTCATGGAAGACAATGAGAAACTATAGGCATCTGTTCTCATCATGGCCTCTAATGACCACTTCTGACATCTCTGTCTTTCTCCATAATCCAGACGCTTACCACCTATCCCATCACCCACATATGCAGCGCACCCACTGTGTACCGGATGCTTGTGCAGAAAGACCTTAAGAGGTATATGGGCAGAAATCTCCACTGGAACAAACTGAAGCAATCATCCAGCATCACAGACCCCAGTGAAAGACAGCCCAGGGTGTCCCAGTCTCTCCACTATTGACATTTTGGATCAAATAATTGTGCACTGAGGGGGGGGCATTCTACACTTCGTAGGTTAGTGAGCTGCACACCAACTAGATGCCAGTAGCATCTCCCTCTCTTCCTCATTCGTGATAGTCAAAAATGTCCTGTGGGGGACAAAATCATCTCCCAGCTTAAGAACCACTGGAATATTCTCTAGGGGCAACTGGATATTTTCTTGGAGATAATCAGAGCTCTATATCACTATCGATAGTCAGAGCTCCCACTCAAAAAATTTGTCCTTTAGTATCACTCTTAAAGAAACACTGCCATTTAGAACAGGACTCCCAAAACAAAACAAAAGACAACAAAATCTCCACTCACATTGCCTTGAGGAACATTAGTGAAGTTTATGATTCAAAGTTATATTGAATTTAGCTAAGCTACCTGCCTATCCTGTGGAGCTTGGATATTGCAGTGTATAGAGCTTTGGATGGAGCATTGTAATTTAATGCATGAGAAGATTTTTAAACATTTTAAGTTGGAAAGGCTTATCCAACTTTCCTTCCCACAAGGGAAGGTGAGAAGGAAAAATGGAGGGAAGGTTGCCAGGAGAGAAGGGGCTAGGAAAAATAGAAGCAAATATGAATTTCCTCTTTTCATAGTCAATGTCAACTCCTTGTGGTCCCCAAAATGTGAAAATCTCACTCACATTTCAAGAATAATTCAAAGCTACTCAAGAGTTCTTTTGATTACACATGCTTGATGTCCTACTGACACCCTCCTGCCCACTCGGGACTTCACTGTATGGGACTCAGGCTTTCCCAGGGTTTCTTGCCCAAGTCTAGTCAGTGCAGGGGTTAAAAAAGCTCAAGTGCCACAGGCAAAGAGGCCAGGATTTGTTACTTACTAATAGTGTGACCTTAGACACTCAAGATGACCTTGCCAAGCCTCCATCAACTCCACACATAAGAGAGACTAAGTGACATGCTTGGTGAGGTCAGCCTGCCGAGGGTAAGTACACGGCATAGAGTACTCAACTCAGTCACTGATTCTTTGGGAGGCTTTGGGCAAGTTCTTTAACCTCTCTGAGCCTCAACTTCCTCATCTGTACAATAAGGGTTGTAAGGATTTTAAAGTCTTCTACAACCTTTACTTTTGTCCAATCAAAGCTGTTATACTGTTTGTCTCCTAAGTACTTAGTGTCATCATTAGCATTTCCTTCTGCCTTATTCTTCCTTTAGTAGCTAAGTTGTCCATCTGCCAACATGGAAGCCCATTCAGAACACTTTTGTTTTCATCACTAACACACCTCACATGACCAGAACAATAACCAGGTTATAAATTTGTGAAATGGACTTTCCTAAGACTTGTTCCTCTGAGCTTTTATTTTTTTTTTTGCTTGAACGTATTAATTATCTTGCAGTGAAAGCCACTCGTGTTTCTTCTCCAAAGACCACATGTAACCCTTTCTCTTCAGATATAAATTCAAGAAGCTGAGGCACTGCTTGACTGGAGGGGAGCCACTCAACCCAGAGGTGCTGGAACATTGGAAGGCGCAAACAGGGCTGGAGCTGTATGAATGCTACGGGCAGACTGAAGTGGTATATTTAAAGGGTGAAGTTTAGTAGAACTGTCTCTCAGTATTTGGGGGAGACTGGGTCTAGGACTGGAGCGGATAATCCAATTCTTAGATGCTCAAGTCCCCTATCTAAAATATCATGGAATTTGCATGTAACCTATGCATATTGTCCCATACACTTAAATCAGTTCTAGATTACTCATGTTACCTAATACAATGTAAATGCTACCCAAATAGTTGTTGTCCCATGGGGTTTAGAAATGATGACAAGAAAAAATGCCTGCACCTGTTCAGGACAGATACAACTGCCCCTCCCCCCAAATATTTCTGATCTTCAGTTAGTTGAATCCAAAGATGCAGAACCCACAGATACGAGGCACTATCTGTATACTAAAATGTCCCCCATCGTGTTATAAATTTTCATAGAGTCTTATAGCACACCTTATCTTGCTAGTGTTTATCAAAATTTCTGTATTATGCTGGCCATGGTGGTGTACATCTGTAATCTCAGCACTCAGGAGGCTGAGGCAGGAAGATTGCTAGCCTGGGTTACATAGTGAATTCAAGGACAATCTGAACTACAATCTGAGACCCTGTCTCAAAAAACCAAAACAAACAAACAAAAATAAACTTGTGGACTGGGCAGTTAGGCTTGGCTGAAGGGGATTTGTGATTACTTCACCCAGGAGAAATCTCAGGAGTACTGAAAATTGGTGAGAATCAAAACTGAACTGCACAACTTTCCATTGCACTGGAAAAGAACCCCTGGTTACCTCTGGAGGGAATTAATTCCACAGTGCACATGATAGAGTCTAAAAGAAGTGGTTTTTAAAGTGTGGTCTTCACACTAGCAGTATCAGAATCATTTGGGAATTCTCAGATCTCACTCTATACCAACTGGATAAGAAACTCTGGGATGAGGTTTAGAAATACACATTTTTAACAGGTGGTTCTGATGTAGGCCCAAGTTGAAGAACTATTGCCCAACTATTAAAATTTCATTCTCATGATATAATTAGCTTTAAAAATGAATTTTTACATACTTACCTACATGTCCTCTCAACAGGGTATAATTTGTGCCAATCAGAAAGGTCAAGAAATTAAACCTGGCTCTATGGGAAAAGGAGTGTTACCTTACGATGTCCAGGTGGGTTAAGAAAACAACTGAGTGGTTCATAAAGAAGGGAGAAGTAGGTGTAGGATTCTAGCACACTAGGAGGAGGAGGCGAGAGGATTAAAAATTTAAGACCAGTCTGTGTAACTTAGTGATGCGTTAATGAGACCCTGTCTCAGAATAAAAAATGGACAGGGCCAGAGATGTAGCTCAGTACAAAATCCTGGGTTAAATCTTCAGTACCAAAAAGAAAAGGAAAAAAAAAGCCGGGAGGGGGGGCATTTTACAGCTCTTTCCAATTTATTATACAACTGTTTGAAACCCATTTTCATTTGTGAAACGAGTAACAAAAATCTAAACGGTTTCATTCTAGATTATAGATGAAAAAGGCGATATCCTACCACCTGGCAAAGAAGGCGATATTGCTCTCAGACTAAAGTCTACCCGGCCTTTCTGTTTCTTCTCTGAATATGTGGTATGAAAATACAGAGACTGCTAGGCATACTTTAGCCCAGATATGGGTCCAAATTTCATGCCTATTGTGACTTGCTATATATAAATCAGGACAATTGATGGTAACCTGGGCCATTTCATCATCTGTAAAATGGGAAGAATACTGTCTTCCTCCCAAACATACTATGAAGGTCAAATTCCACAAGTAAGAAACTGATTAGAGTGCTGTTATCAGAAAGGACAGGCTGGGAGGAAGAAGGGCATGGAGGATGCTAGAGATAGGAGAGAGGCTTAGATTTTTAATACTTTTAGACCTTTTTGATTTTAAACTAGGAACTACCTTAACTTAAAAAAGATTAACTTCAGCTAATTGTGGTGTTGTATGCCTGCAAGCCCAGCACTCAGGAGGCTGAGACAGGAGGATTGTCACAAGTTTGAGGCCATCCTGGGCTACCTAGTGAGTTCAAGGCCAGCCTGGATTACATAGCAAGACCCTGCCTCAAAAACAAACAAACACAACAGTAACAAAAGCTTCATTTATTTGTAATATGCCAGTCACTTACTGGGTACCAGACCCAATTTCTGTTCTGTCCAAAATAATTCCTAAATGTCATCCTCAATTCCTAGGACAATCCAGAGAAAACTGCTGCTACAATAAGGGGAGACTTTTATGTCACTGGGGACAGAGGCCGGATGGACAGTGATGGGTATTTCTGGTTTGTCGGCAGAGCTGATGATGTCATTATATCCTCTGGGTTTGTACATTTGCTGCCCCTAGCAAGCAGCCAGTCGGCAGGGAGGGAGACTTCCTACTTGAAGAGTGTAGTGAGCAGGCTTCTCCTTCTCCACAGGTACCGTATCGGGCCCTTTGAAGTGGAGAGCGCACTTATTGCGCACCCAGCAGTTGTCGAATCAGCTGTTGTCAGCAGTCCAGATCCAATCCGAGGAGAGGTAGGTGAACATCACTACTCAACGCAGCAATTTCCTATTTTCAAGTTCTATTTGACCACTGTAAAAACTAAATCTAGAGTACAGTGGTCATTTAACTTTCACTATGAGACACACATGGCAAAAATGTGATTAGGAAATCAACTTTTCAAAGAGGACTGGGAATCTGTTGGTGGTAACTGACAGAAACTCAACTTAGATTGACTTAAATTGTTAAAAAAATGTTTGGCTAATACAACTGAGTCAGGTACATCTATATCAAGAGTTCATATGAAGTTAGCACCCCCTAGTCTCTCTGTGTTTGGCTCTGCTATTCTCTGGCAACCCCACCTGAGCCTTCTTACTTGATAGAAACCAGCTCTGCATTTACAGCTTCACCGCCATCCCACGGAAGGAGAGAGTGGACTTTCCAAGTGTTCCAAGGAACTCCCAGGATCTCCCTATCTTAAGTCACTTCCCTAGCCAGAGTGGTCCAGGAAGTGGTACAGGTGAATGGCCAGACCAGGAGGGGTAAGGCTTGGTGTCAACCTCAAAAACTTAGTGTAACACTCCAAGGAAACTCAGTACTGTTACTGAAAAGTAGGCACAGATAATGCATTAAGCATCAGACTTTGCTGTCTGTACAACTGAAGTCCCACAAGCTTCCTAATTAGGACTTAATGATGATATTACTCATGATATTACAACAGTCTTGATTCTAGGAGGAAACTGTATGCTAAGAAAGGGAGAAATCTACTTTCTTCATAGAAGTTTCCTGTAGACTCATCAAGCAGAAAAATCTCAAAATTGTGATATCAATTTTGACATCTCCTGTGCCTTTCTCTCAGATACCTGTGGTTCTTTGAGGGACACCATGGTCCCATATACTCACCTCTAGGGCCTCCTCAATTTTCCATGTAATTTCATTCTCCTGACACCATATTCTCATTGTCTCCACATAGCTGATTTCAATAGAACACCAGAAGTAAACACCAATTAGAATATCTGTATGCATAGTCAATCATTTAAACTGCTTACCAACTCAATAATTATCTAACTGCTTCAACCAGTATTACAAAGAAAAGGAAAAATTGGGAGGCAAGAAAGACCCTTTTGAGATAGATCCATCTTCCTAATATACCATCCTTCCACTATTAGGCCTTCCCAAACTCCCTTCAAACCATATTCTCTTGAATTCCTATCACTTCTGCTACTCACACAGTAGAGGTTTGATGGTATGTAGGGTCATCTGTCAATCAAAGACTGCCTGAATAATAAACAGGATCAAAGGGCTTGAAATGTTAAATATGCAATATGTAAAGAGTTCAACCAGGAAAGAATCAATGTACTCCTCACATTCACAACCCATTTATCTGGAAGTAGATCCCCCAAACCTCACTTTGTCATTGTAGTATCTGAGCTGGCATTTGTAGTTATCACTCAAGCTGCTGTTAACAAATAATGCCTCAGCAATGGTGCCGAACTCTCAATTTGTTTGTCAAACAAATAGCAATACAAATTGTCTTTTCTGCTGCAGGTGGTAAAAGCTTTTGTTGTCTTATCTGCACCCTACAAATCGTCCAACCCTGAGAAACTAGCTCTTGAACTTCAGGATCATGTGAAAAAATCAACTGCAGCTTACAAATATCCAAGAAAGGCAAGTATGCTAGGTTTGTGCAGTGTGTAAATGCTAACTAAATTCTAATAGTAGGTCTTATGGATTTTGACTTTATAGAGTTCAGTATATAGGCAGACCATACTTTTTCAATTCATTTAACCAAGAATTTTTTTTGAAATGTTTTATATTTGGGCACTAAAAATGCTTGATGGATGAACTTTTTAAAATCAACGGTAACAATGAACAATGAGTAACTACTAAGAATACAGAATTAGTCCCATTCCATATAGGGACAAAGAATGTTGGCAAAATATTAAGTGCCTTATTTTTAGGAACAGCAATTGATGTTTAGCCCTCTTGGCCATATAATATCCCTATAAATTGAAAACATATGCATTTGGGTGTCAAGGGGGTTCATTTATGGCTCAGAAGGAAGATATTACCCAAAGAATATATGGAACACATCCTGAAACCTTCAAATGAGGATTTAAAAGTGATTCTATACACAGAGATTATACTGGAATTTCCTTCTATCTCTGGACTCCTATTGGTTGACAGTGACTAATCCTCTAGAAAATAATTCCATTTCAGTTGGTATAGTTTCAGTAAGAAGGTAGCTAATTTCAACTTAACTAATTCTATCTTTGTAGTAGTTTTTGTCCACTAAACTAACAAAATCAATAAGTAATCTTTTGATTTTCAGGAATGAGATCTGAGGGCATTTAAACATACATAGTGTCGGTTTGAGAGAAGGCAACAAAGACAGGATCTTACAGTCAACTCAGATCACAAGGGGAAATTCTATGTACTCCAAATCACCACTAAAATACCTCCTTCAGAGTCTGAAAGACCCACTCACTTACTCATTCATTTGTGCTTGAAACTGTGATCCTCTTGCTTCCCAGAGCTGGGGTTACAGGTATCTACTACCACCCAGCTGCAAGGACTCATGCCAATGTTTTTTCCTTTTTGAATTTAGGTGTAAATCTCTATTCCCCAGAGGGCAGTAGAGGACTCGGTCTAGACAGGCAATGGGATTCTTTTCTTTTGGCAGAGGATATGAGTGAATTAGCACTAACAACTGCTAGAATGGAACTATACTGTTACCCTTACTATATGAACTCACCTAAGTTTCCTGTACTCACTAGATTCAATGAATTTAAACTAAGACAATATCCACATATAAAATTTAGAATTTCACAAGAGCTGTTTTCTATTTCATTGAGCCAAGATTCAAATAGAACCAAGTGTCTCATAGTATGTTTTTTTGTTTTGTTTTTTCTGTCAATTAGGTGGAATTTGTTCAAGAACTCCCAAAGACAATCACTGGGAAAATCAAACGCAACGTTTTGAGAGACCAAGAATGGGGACAAAAATAGCCTGATAAGAAAACTTGAGGAATTAAATAGTAACATGGTTGCTTTCTTTTAACACTTACTTCTTGATAATTCAGTGGCTGCTTTCTTAAAGATTTTTTTTTTCTGTTTGAAAATTTGAGTTTTTGTTTTCCACTTAGCCAAGAAATAAAAAAATACTCTAAACGGATTTGCAAATATTGTTACAGTGACCAAATAAACAAAGGTAATTATTTGTAGTGTTTAAAAATAGCAGGGGTAAAATGATTACTTAAAAGAAGGGTAGTATACAATGGATCTGTTTCATTTGTTTTGTCCTGAATAATGTAAGAAATATTCTAGAAGTGTGCAAGACAGAATTTTTTCTGCTCAACATCTTTATGATCCTATTAATATTCCATGGGAGCTTAGAATGAGTATAAATACTACAAGTCAAAGGCCAGTAAATGAATTTAATGAAATTAACTACTATATTGTTCCTTGTTTGGGAGTAAATCCTGTAAATATCAGAAAATTTGGATTATTTAGGTATATTCATTATTCAAGAACAATTAATTTTTATAATTTCCTTTTTAGGATCACATACATTACTTCTTTTGATACATACTTTAACATTTAAAAAAAATTTTTTTAAAGACAAGAGACTATGGTAGTTCACTGGCCTGGACTCACAGTGTACTCCACAAGTATTCCACATTGGCCTGGAATTCACGGTGATCTTCCTGCCTCAGCCTCTGAGTGCTGGATTAAAGGCATGTGCCACCATCCCCAGTCTGATATGTAAATATTTTTAATGATACACATACTATAAAGCAAGAGATCTACTAACAGGCAGAAAGAAAAAATATAGAACATTAATCTTTAGGGAACAACTTTATTTTGATTTTTCTGAAAATATCAGGAGCTATTAAAAAAAAAAAAAAGCTGAGCATCTGGCTGTACCAAAAGTAAAACACAAATAAAAATAACACTTGAAAATTGTTTCTAACCTTAAGAGAAAAGTGTTTTAAAACATGAAGTTTAACCCTTTTCTCTTTAGAGCAAAACAAGTTCATAAATCATAACACAAGTTGTTTAACTGCCATAATTTTAATTAAAACACTGAAAGAACAAAAGGTACCCAACTTCTACCTCTCATCATTTATAAATACTATGCTCAAATGTTAGTGAAAATAAACAGCTGATACACCCAAAATTAAATCTTTTAATGAGTAAATGCAGATTCTAACAAAGCATAGCGTCTATGTTGGGAACAATGGCTTGTGTCACACTCAGATCTTACCACATACAAATAAATACAAATGCCAAGAATAATAAAATCAAAATCTTCCTGTAGAGTAGCAGCTTCACAAAGCCAAAGAAATTCAGACAAATTATTCCCAGAGTCCCTTTGTCTTGCACTATCACAATAAAGTATCTGTCTTCCAGCATGTCTGAAGAAGGCACCAAAATCCTTCTTATCCTCCAAATGATACTAATACTCATCCTTTTGCTATGACTTCAACATCATTAAGAGTCAACATTTGGGGGCGGGGTACCACAGCAAACACCTGTAATTGCAGCTACTTGGGAGTCTGGAGCAGGAGGATCACAAGTTCAAGGCTGGCCAAGACAATTTAGTGAGTCTCAAACAATACAAAGTCAGGAATGTGGTTTAGCAGTACAAGGCTTGCCTAGTATATGCAAAGGTCTAAATTCATCTCCACAAAAAGAGTTAACTTTTAAAGATAATTCAAGGGGCTGGGGATTTAGCTCTGCGGGCATAAGCACTGCCTTACAGGCAGGTGGTCGTGAGTTTGATCCCTGGTACTGGAAAAAAGCAAAAAAAAAAATTCAAAAAAGATACTCAAGAAAGTACCAGCCCTAGGTATAATACCCAGGTCCTATGTATTCTCTGCCCCTCCCAAATCCTTCTAGCCTGGTTTACCAACCAGAGGCCTTCACCCAAAGTAGAAATGTTCATGTTCACAGGCATTAAGCTGACATAGCCACTTACACAGGAAGCCTTAATGTTTATACTGCTTCCTAATATAAACCTACCTCAAAAACTAATTTCTCAGCCTAATATTCATAATCTAAACAGTTTATTACTTCCCACCTTTCTCAATCAGGGAACCCCTGAGGGAACCCTCATAGTGAATGTGAGGATTAAGTTGAAACTGCAGAGAAATCCAGAATGTCAGACTAGAGTGAAGTTTTCTTTCAGAGAAAAATAGGAAATTCTACTTAATTTGGCTTTGCATTTCTTCCAGGTAGCCTTGAGATTTCTGAATTTTTCATTCTTGTTGTTTGTTTCTTTGTTGTTTTGAAACAGGGTGTTGCTAGGTAGTTCAGGTTGATCTTGAACTCAGTGATCCTCTGGTTGTATTCTCCATTTTCATGTGGAAGTTACTGCAGAAACATTTTAAGAGTTTTACTGTCAACCCTTAAAATGACTTTTTCAGAGTCAGTTTCCTTCTAAGATTCTTATCACTTTCAGAAAAAAAAAAAGGTTTTCCTCTAGAATCTTGTACAAACTTGTTCACTGATACAAGTTGAAAATGTCCATTAAACAGACTAGTTTCTGGAGTCCTTCTTTATTTTTAAAGTACTCAGAAAGACTCACTTAGTTTTCTTGCAAGTACCCTGACAATTCTCTCTCTATTCAAATATACGCTGAGGATGCTTCCTCTAAGAAGCCACTAGGTTTCTGTACAAAGTAGAAAGTTTATTGCTCTTTGCCCTGATTTTAATTTAGGGACATTTTAAAAAATGATGCAGCATAAATGGTATTTACTAAAGTTAACCACTTCTGTAGCATTTTTTTGAACTTGATTTCATCTCCAAGTTTCTGGTATCAGTATCTCAATGAAGAAAAAAAAAGCTGTATACTATAATGTCAACAACAGGATTTCTTTTCTTTTTTCTTTTGAAATGTGGCAAAACTGTTACATAGCCAACTACTAACGGTACACTAGAAGTATAGTTGACAGACATTTGGTTTTCAGATATGAAGACACATTAAATATATATTGGTCTTGGTTTTGTGAGACTCATAACATCAGAAAACATTGTTTAATTTCACCATCATTTATAAATCTTACAAGTGTTACAGAATGACAAATATTTGTGAAATCTGTTGACATAGTACCCAAGATAAAAAGGCTGCGGTTTCCTAGTTATATAAAACATTTTAGTATATGACATAGCATTAGTAAGTCAACTTATTAAACTGAGAGTACAGTGACTTCAATTTCTTGTACTTGTCCAAGCATTTTAATGTTGGTATTAAATTTTCATCAACTATGTACCTTTTCCTTTGCTGGGATAACTTCTGCTACCAAATAATTTGCTTCTTATACCTTTTTGCTGAATGTAATCTCTTTAAACAAGTTTTTTTCTGTTTTGATATTCAAAAAGCTACTTAAGATAATCAACATCCTTGTCAAACAACTGTGGTTTAGTTAAAAGCCACAGACAATGCATAGCGAGAACAGGACAACTGATTATGAATACATGTAAAGCCTGTGAGAAGTAGCTTTCACTGCAAAGACAGAACTGCTTCGTATTTCTTGCTATAGTAGTACTGTATATAGGAGTAACTTAGAAGATTGTAATTCTTCATCACTAACCTCACCAAAAATGTCCATAGTTCTGCACCGACAATTGTAGCAATGGACAGCACATTTGTTCATCACAAACATTAATGAAACGCATAAACAGATATAACTACACAAGGAAAACAAAAAGTACAAAATCATCACAACAATGCATTTCCAGCCTACATGATGCATAATTTCGCAGTGTTTACAACCAAGTGGCAGGAGACAGCTGAGTTGTGGCACCTAAAATTCCATTCCTTCCTTAGAATGCAAATTTCCCTCTGATTTTCTACTTCTCAGAGCTTGTTCCCTCCTGTAAATCAGCTGGTACAGCACAAGGGGAGACTGAAGGTCCTCAGGGAGAAGCAACATCATCCTCCCACCGCCCTCCAGCCTGTGACAGCACGCAGGTCGACACACACTGCCATCAGGGCTGAAAGAGCTCCATGGAAAATGTTGACAGGGCTAAGGGATCACTGCTCACTGCTGTGAGAGCAGCAAGATGCAGCACACAAAGGTCAAGATACTTAAGTCACAATTTTATAAGGAACCCTATTACCATCTCTCAAAACTTGAGTTGAGAAACCCACCTCCAGTACAAAATGACTCCTATGAGAGATCATTTTCATTTGACTTGGATCCTTCTTGAATCTGAATGGATGGTTCAGCTTTAGTGCCTTCCTCAGTCTCCACCTGAGTCTCAGATCCTGGTTTTGCTTCTTCTAGTTTCTCCTCATTATTCTGTGGCACAACCTGTTGGTTATCTTCCCCTTCTTTTGGGTCATTTTGATTTAATTTGTTATCAGTTTCCAATCTTGCTTCTTTCCCATTTCTCAGCTTTGGGGAAGGCTGTGATGGATCGTTAGCAGTCTTCACCACCTCCTGAAGATTATATTTTCTGAACAACATGTAATCTTTCACAACACTCAGACAACAGACAGCTTTGATGATTTCAACTACCACCGTGTATTGTGGATTGGTGAGATCCACTTTGTTTTCTGAATTCAGACAGCCCACAATTCCTGTAAGCAAAAATAGGGAAACATTTAGGCTGAGGATACAGTAAGCTTGACACACACGGAAAAATTTTCATCCTTTGTTTCTGGGATTTATTAAAAACAGAATATATACTTGTTCATTCTTCTTTGTGGCCTTCAAAATTCCCAGAATCCTTTCAATAAACACATACAAATAAAATTCTAAGACATTTAAGAATACAGTTGGCCCTCAAAATCCACAGAGCCCTCACACAAGATTCAACCAATCTATTTTGAATCAAAATACGAGTTGAGTATTGAAAAAAAACTGTGTCTGTACTATACACATACCTTATTTTCTTACTAGTCCCTGAATTATATATAACAACTATTTAGTGTATTAGGTATTCTGTGTAATCTGGTGATGACTTAAAGTCTCTAAGAAAGACGACCATTGGTTATATGTAAATACTACTCCATTTTCTGATAGGAACCTGAGCAGTCACAGAAGTTGGTATAGTTAGGGGATCATGGAATTAAATCTGTCATAAGTACAAAAAGATGATGGTAGTTTCTTCCCCAAAGCTTGATTTGGAAAAAAGTTTACCAATCTCATATCTATCATGTTGAAACCTGTTAAGTTTAATATACTTCTTTACTGCAAAGTATAAACCTTAAATCTTAAAAAAGAAACCCTTTGGGGCTGGAGATTTATCTCAGCGGCATAAGCGCCTGCCTTGCAAGCAGACAGTTGTGAGTTCGATCCCTGGTACCGATAAAAACGAAAAAAAAGACCAAAAAAAAAATAAAAAAGAAACCCCTAAACACAAGTGTTTATCATTGCATACCTATATAAAATCACTAAGGGAAACATACCTGCCAATTCTTTGATAACTTCTTCTCTATTCATGTGACTGTTATTACGAGATTTGTACACAATCTGAAATGTCCCTTTGTTTGGTGCTTTAAACCAGGGTTCCAAAAATGTTTCTGCATATTTTTTCATATCCTCTAAGAAAGCTTTGCATGTGCCTGAGATGGGTAACATTCGCAAAATAACTCGAGTCTTCTTCTTCTTAGTTTTATACACATCCTGGAGAATGTGATGCACCAATTTCTCAGGTTCTAAAAAGAAAACAAACAAACAACAACAAAAATCACCGCAGAACAAGTTTTCTCAACTGATTTCTTCAGTGTTTACTTCGCATCTCATATTTTTGCTTTCATCATTATTACCGCTTTTGCTAAATATAATTGTTCAGTTCACAGACCCTAGAGTTAGTTTTTGTGATGTTCTGATTTATCTTTGCTGTTGCTTTCCTTTAGCAATAACAACTATTAAGAGTTAACAAGTAACACCACGCACTTTTTTTTTTTCTACAAGACAATCTACGATTCATTTAAAAGATTTAATGAATCCAGATATACAGTAGCCTAATCAGATAGTGGGAAGTATCCTAGAACCATATTATGAAATAGTGACTTTCAGGCTTCATTCTACCTGAACATAAATCAGTTTGGTGATGCTTTTTGCAGCATTTATAAGTTAGATGAGTACTTTTTTAAAAAGTGAGAACATCTGATCTCCAGCTTCTTAAAAAATTGAAAGATCTGGTTCTGTATTCCCAATGGCAGCTATTGGCTGGAGCTGAGTAGCAGCTGCTCCTCTCTGATAGGACATGCACTCTCATTCTGTCTAAAGTTACAAAGAAAGCACAAAGCCAGATTTCACTCCTGAACCAATGCATGTGCACTATCCCCATTCCATACCTGCAAGTGCCTACTGCTTGCTAATACAGTGTAGAGGGGATGCAATCCAGTGATTAACAGAGCCATGAAGCCATTTTGTAGGCAGTGTTCTCTGAGAAAGGAGATGTCTGGATATTACAGTTATGTTAAGGGATATTAGTCATACACACACACACACACCTATCCCAAGTGTCCTGATGAAGACTACATTATTTGCTCCACTCTCTATTGACTGGAATCTTCTTAGCCTCTTCTCTGTAGAAGCCTTAATGTCATCAACCTCCTTCTTCAAGGCAGCCTCCATATCATCTTCTCCCTCACTTCCAGAGAGCTGCTGATCCTTGTCTGTGAACTGTTTATATAAAACCAATAAACAGAAATGATACAACAGCTTGTGTTTAAACACTATAATTAAATACTTATGTGAAACCCCCAGTGGCAGTTGACTCAGTGTTGACAATAAAGTTTTTATTAAGAGATTGAGACAACATCCCCTTCAAAATGTGGAGGAAAAGGCTTTCTCAGGCTGTGGGTACACATCATGTGAAAATGTTTTCAGAAGCATCTTGATAGAAGGAAGCAAGAGTGAAACGTGCTCACGAGATGAAAGTCAAGGCACACTCCCAACACCACTAACAGACATCTTTGTGCCTCACATGACACTCTCCTTTTGTGAGATGAGTACAGAATTAAAAACCCTTACTCCTGCCCTACTGAACAGGACATAAAGTTCAGGAACTTGCTCAAGGTGATACAATAGTGACATATACATACTCATGTTTATAGCAGCACAACTTATAATAGCTAAATTTTGGAGACAGCCAATATGCCCATCAACAGACGAATGAATAAAGAAAATGTGGTATTGTACGTACAATGGAGTACTACTCTGCCATAAAGGATAAACTTGAGTCGTTTGAAGGACAATGAGTGCATCTCGAAACCATAATCTGAAGCGAAATAAACCAGACAGAGAAGTTTGAATATCACGTTGTTTCTCTTGTGTGAGAATTTAAAGAGTAAAAAAGGAACATATGAAGGCTAGGTAGTGCAAAGTAGAAAGAGCATGTTCAAATGAGAAGAGGAAGGAGTGGGGGAGAAAGAAAAATGGAAGCAAAGTTTTTGTAAATGGGGAAGGGGAAAAGAGTTAACTATAAGATATATTATGTACAAGTAGAAATTCCATATGAATGTGATCAATATTTATGACACGTGTACTAAAAATATAAAGTTAAAAAAATTCAGAACTTGCTTAAGTTACCTGCGTAGATGGTTTACCATCTGTTGCACAGTTGTCTAACCTACTAAAGGGGTTCCTAATCAAGTACTAATAATAATTGTACATTTAAAGAATCTTTACTATACCTTATGTACTTTTAAAAAAATCTCTTAGCAGAATAAACTTGCTCATGCCCAACTCCAAGAGGCAGTTAAGTGATGGGACCCTCTGCACCATCTTTCACTGAATTCCTTTTAATATATATGTGTGTAACCAGTCCAGACTCTAAACCAGTAAACCACGACAGGACAATGAGATTTTAGGCAGTAATGGTACAAAAGCTTTAAAATTTTTTTGTGTTTTTTTGAGACAGGGTCTCACTATGCAATTCAGGTGGGCTTCGAACTCCTTTGTGGCCTACACTGGTCTCGAACTCAAGATTCTCCTGCCTTAGCCTCCCTAGTGTTGGGATTACAGGCGTGCACCATCATGCCTGGCGCAAAGCTTTTATTTTTTAAAAAGCATTTTTACTTTAAATTAGTAAATGACTACTTAAGAGATATTATGAGTAGTAACTACAGCCAGCTTCACTAGGTTGTCGCGAGAAGCGCTCCTCTTGGCCCGCAAGAAGCATCAATAAATGGGTCAGCGCGTAAGGACCAGACCTTCAGGGGTATCACAGACTTCCACCCTTGAGAAAGCAAGAGACAAGGCCGGCGGGGGTGGGGTTGGAAGGCAGCCGAGGCCACGCCCCCGCCGCGCGCACGCGCAAAAAACCACTAGGGCTGCCAGCGCGCCTCCTCTCAAAGGCCTTCAGGCCGGCTCTGCAACACTGGCACAATACCTTTTCGGGCCCGTACAGATTATCGCCGTATTCGTTGAGCAGGCTGTAGGCCTCCTCCACGCATTTGCGTTCGTTCATATTACAGGTGATGAGGATTCCCTGCAGTCCAGGTTCCAGCTGCCGCGGCCCGCCCGCATCACAGCGCCGAGCCCGCTTGGCCTGCACGTACTGAGCCTTGCCTTTGCGCTTCCCACCCCCAGGCTGAGGAGGCTGCTGGGCCGGGGCCGCCATTGCGCCTGACAGCCGAGCCAAAGGAGACAAGCGTTTCTCCACGTTTTTTCGGGTTTCCACTCGGGCGGCGCGTGATGATGACGTCAGAGGTGCGTGGTACCTCCCTACCCAGTCCTCAAGCCTCTTTGCGTACTGCACTGGGTCCTAGAGCCGTCCGCTGTTCGTGGCAGAACAGTGGCAGAACGGTGTCAGGAAGCCACATTTTTCCAAGAGGAAAAAAAAATGTTGGCCCACTATAGGAAGGACCATTTGATACCTTGTGGAGCGCATGAAGATGCTCTCTTTTATTCTCATCCATTTGTTCATGTATTTATAAGGGTTTACCAGCCTGCAAAGGAGAAACTGTCTCTCTAGACTGTGTCTTCCTAACCTGCAAGGTTGCTGCCACTTAAACCTTTCATGTATTTTTGGTACAAGATCCATCCTAACCCTGAACACAAATAGAAGACAATCACATATCCCTCCTGTCCTGAACTTGCACTGTACCCAGGATTCCCTGCCTTATTCTTTTCCTACCCAACAGCTTCAGGAAATAGATGCCTGAATCCTGCAATTCCTTGCAGGCTGGTAAATCCTTCTAAATGTACATGAAACAGGTGGATCAGAATAAAAAGAGAGCATCTTCATCTGCTCCACAAGGCACCAAGGCAAATTTTTCCTACAATGCCAACTTTTTAAAAACTTAATTCCTAATAACCTTCTGCCTCCAGAGTTGATATCTTATGTGATTACAAGCCGAAATCCACAGTCAGGCTAGGTTCAAATAGGCTTTTCCCTGCCCTGGCTATGAGACTAAACGAGTTACCCAAGCAAAGTTTTAGTTCTTCATTACAGAAAAATATTAATGGAGATAATAATATATACATCATGAGTGAATAGGAAAATTCAGTGAGCTCAAACATGACAAGAGCTTAGGTCATATTTACTATTTGGTCCATGTGAACTTAAAAATAGCTGTTCTGGAGCTCAGCTGTTCTGACTCAACAGAAGTCTATTTTTGGAGAGTACCAGTATCACCCTCAATCTAAACCCTAAGGTCATTATCTGTCTCCCTTTATTTCAATGGTTCTTCTATATGTATGACTCATTGAAGGCTAAGTTTAATTACTTTTAGGAATGATGCAATGAGAGAAATAAATTTTAAAAATCAAATAGTGTAAAAGAAAATAAGATAAAATATGTAATACCTGATGTGAGACAACTCTTTGTCTCACATCTGATAGAATGACTTCCCAAATCTTTCAGGGGCTATGTAATGTAACTGACAGCATTTGTCACATTTATACTTTCATCACACCCATAACGTTTGTAAAAGTAACTCAGTCAACAGCCTGATCTCTCAGGCTGTGGTCTAACTTTGAACCCATGTGGACTTGGTTCTCTTCCTAGAGAACAGAGGCTGTCACACTTGTCCTGGCCATTCTGCGTCTACATGCATTCTACTCCACCCTACTGGTTGTCCTGAAATTGTCATCCAGGTGTCTTAAAGTTATTTCATCCCAGCATTTCTGGAGTTTCAGTTTTGACAAGTAGGTTTCTCTAAAGCCAATATGCCATTTTGTGAGTCTAGGTTCTTGAAGGCAAAAGTGAATGAATTTTTTCTATTTCTATTTCTATTTTGAATTTTTTCTATTTGAAAGAGAAAAAAGAAAAAAATCAAGAAACAAACCAAAACAACAACAACTAAAGCAAAATGACAGCAATAAAAACAATAGCTATATAGGTTTTCAAAACAAGATGATAAGAATTTAACAATGGTTTTTACATTGCATATTGTTATCTTCAAAATAGTTGCTCAGGGAGGTCCTCCAGATGTAGTTAGCTCTTTATAGTTAGCCAAAGGGAAAAAATAGTTGCTCAGTTTACCAGACATGGGAATAAAACAAAACAGTAAAACGGAACAAAACACTGAATTGCTTTCTTTCTTTCTTTCTTTCTTTCTTTCGGTACTAGGGATCAAACTCACAACCTCGTCCTTGTCAGGCAGGCACTTATGCCACTGAACTAAATCCCTGGCCAGAACATTGGATTTCAAAAACCAGACAAAAAAAATCCCCCACACTTGCTATAATGCATATTGCTATCCTCCAAATAGATACACAGACTACCAACTTTTGGCCTGCAATGTCAATCAAACAATTCAAGCATTATTTTTTTTTTGCTCCAGTTGCTATTATCTCAGTCTGACTTCCTCCAAATCAGCCCATTGCTTACCGGGGTGGTGGTGGTGGCAGTTGCTCTTCTTGTCTCCCAGCCCACGTGCCAGCTGGCTCATGGGAAAGCATGGTTTTCCATTTTATACTCTATATAGGCATGAGTCTTTTTCCTCAAAACCTTTTGTTTTCTTGTGTTTTGTAGGTAGTTTCTACTTTTTTGAGATTTGGTTGAATAACTTGTTTATACACTGTTGCTTACTCCTACTTCTTTGAGTACCGCTAGATCACCCTCCTTCTTCTACTTCAGTCAGTGCTCCAAAGAAGGAATCTCCAATGGTGGGACCTCAAACAGTTTGCTAATTTAGAGAGATATACTTCCACTTACAATTCAAGTTATACTATGGACTATATACTCCCTCAATACATAACATCAGTCCTAGGTAAACACTAATTTAACAGTCATAAATATCAGAGTATATAATATATGCTGTGTTTAAGAGTCCATGTTGACTGGAATTTAAACACTTTTCTGGCACAGATGAAGCCTATATAAGAATGATTTATGTGAGTATTCAGGTTGAATAATTCATACTTAAAATAAAAACTGGAGGAAAACCAATGAATCCAGCACAGTGTTCAATGTATAGATGAACAGAAAGACAAATTGATTAAGGACATACTTGAGCCTGACAATCCTAGGTTTAAATCCTGAGTTCATCATTTTACTAGGTCTCGTGATGTCGCGTAAGTTAACAATTCTAATCCTCATCTGTAAAATAGTAACAGCCATGTATATACCTTATAAATCATTTTGAATATTGAATAAAATAATTCATGTCATCCAGATGTGCTATTACATCTGTACTTTGGTTGGCTGAGGTAGGAGGACTGTAAGTTTTAGCCCAGCCTGGACAACTTAGTGAACTTTGTCTCAAAATTAACACTGTAAAAGGATCTGAGAGTGAAGCTCGGTGTGAAAGCTCTGGGTTCAGTTTCCAGTGCTGCAAAAAATCATGTTAATCATCCATACAAATATTCAATAAATGTTATCTGCTGTTGTTGTAGATATTAATAATTACAAGATTTGGTAAGTATGATTTTTATTTTAAAAAGTTGAGGTTAAGACTCAAGGTTTCTATGTTGGTCAATTTTTTTGATGTATCTAGCCACTCCTGTTTTTTAGTGTTTGTTGGGAGCCACTGAGGTTGGAAACTGACCACCCCTGCATGGTTGCTGCCTGGCCTGGACATAATTGTACCAAAAATAAACCTGGGGTAAGTTATGTGAAGAAGTTGCTACACAACACTAAGGCCCTAGACAATACAGGCAATGGGTTGCTACAGAGCAGGGTCGAAATTGACATGGACCTTCAGAGTATATAAACAAACATGCCCTTTGAAGGCAATAAGATTCACTAAGATGCCCATTCTGGTTTGACTATTGTCTCCTTTGGAAGTCCTGTAATGTTTACAATGCTTAAGTTTTATTGGTCTTGTTCTCTACTGTTTTGTTCAACTTTATAATATCTAATGAGATAGATAATTCTTTTTAAGGAAACAAAAGACATTGTTGATAACCATTGTTGATAACCTTGTACTCTGTTTTACATCATGTGCTATGTCTATCCTTGGTTTTGACTGACAGCTCTGTTTTGCCATATTTGACTTTATTCTCTCCCCCCCAAAAACGTAATAAGAACTAAGGAGTAATAAAACCCAAAATGTGTAAATTTTGTTGTAAAAAAGAGAGGGAAAAAAAGAGCTCTAAAGGATACAACAGCAAGTGTGTTTAGGGGTGTTAAATAGCTGACCATATTAATGTTTTTGGTTGGATCATTGAACACAACTGTTTGCAGTCTCACTGTTTGAATGTCCACTTTGTATGCTTTGATACTGTGATTTGAGCAACTATCTCTAAAATGATAATATGTAATCTATTAACTGGTGATTTCTTACTGTTTTTTTTTTTTGTAGTTCTGTATTACTTGTACCCTTACACCGCTTTGTTTTGTTTTGTGTTTTTCTCTTTTTCCTTTTAAATAAAATTTTAAAAAAAACATGCTACATTGATTGAACAGTTCCTTTCCTCCCATTAGGAGATAAGAGCTCTACCTGACTCCAGCTTTGTCTCTTTTTTCTCATCCTCTCATGGTCCTTCATCCCAAGAACCTCAAGGACCACATGGGTTATGGCAGCTATGGAGGAAATATCTTATTGTATATCAAAGTGTTAACATGGAAGGATCTACAAGATGTACTGTGAAATCAGGTAGCAGATCTAAGTGAGGTATGTGTAGTGATCTACATGTCAAGTGAACCAAATCATGTTTTAGTAATAAATGGATATGGGCACATATAATACATATGCACATATGTGTATGTATTATAATCCTATACCTACTTATAAATCATTAGACTTCAGTACCGAGGCCATAGCTCAGCAGGGGCCTCGCAAGTATGAGGTCCTGAGTTATATTCCTGGTACCAAAAGAAATTAGACATCTGTCTTTCCATAGTTCTCAATTAAATCTCTGTTATGGTTTGTGTTTGGATGTCCCCTCCAATGCCACATACAGTCATGGGAGCAGTCTTCTAGAAGTTTATGATTGATTCATAGTCCAATATAGGGATTATGGATGTGAGTGTTACATTCACCCTAGGGTGGATAGCCTACATATACTATAAAGGACAAAAAGAGGCTTCTTTGTGCAGTTCCTTTTTGCTGTTGTTGCTTTCTGTTTTCTCCAGCTGCCATGAACTATTGCCCTCTACCATGTGCCACCCTGTTTTAGAGCTGGCTGAGTATGGACGGAAACCTCCGCAAACTGTGAGCTTATTAAATAAACCTTTTTCTCTTTAATTTTGGGCATTGGGTATTTTGTCTCAGCAACAAAAGAAAAGTAATCAAGACAAGCCCCAAGTCAAAGATTTAGAAG